TACCAGAATTATAAATGTAGATACCCTATATAAGATATTATGTACCTACAATAACAATCAAATATACTTAAATTACGATTACATATGCTCTGGTAACCTATAGCTAGAGAACATGCATTTTTGCTTAAAATATTCACTAAATGACAGTAACCATGAATAAATTCAACCATGGTAGTGTTTCTCGTAACACCCCAAAGTGTATGGAAAGATAAATAATACATATTTACTATTAATGGTTAAGCAAATCATAAATAATTAGTTAATTTGTATGATCATATTCCAACCACTAAACAAGTCATGAATAAGTAAGTTAAATTATGTTGGTTGTTACTATAAATGACTGATGTCATGAATTGAAATTCATTAGACTTATTACGATTAATCCAAATTGTTTCATACACAACAGCATTTGGTGAGAAACATACTTGCATAGCGCATGACTCAACTAGATAGGCAAATGCTCCAGAGCGGGCCTTCCATACCCCCAAACTCGCATGGTGTACAAAATCCTAGTAATTGTGTACCTTCTGTAGTCTAACATGTAACTGAACAACGTAATCTTATGGCAAGGTTTTCGAATTGTGTACCTTCATGGCTTCATTTAATGCCTGTAAGGATTTAGCATATAACCTTTATAGATTCCGAAACAGATTAAGACTTAATCCTCATTTGTATGTTTCTAACGGATGTGACATGATCAACACAGTATGTTCGTGTACTTTATGTCATTGCGATTATTAATTATCAAGACCACACTGATATTGTTGGGACAGTAATATGCTACCACCAGATGTGCTTCGATAGATCAACTAAATACTCATCCAGATAATTCGTGTGTCTCTATTTATTTATTTGAAACCTTGTGTCATTGAAGTATCATACACAAAGGAGAACTGTCACATACCCATTGTTCATGTTCATATACCATCAGAATATCCAAATTATAACAATAGTTCTATACAATTTGAATCTTGCTATTGTATATTTACCTTCTACATTACATTTTTATCAATTATGTCAAATGTAATTACACACCAAAAAGGACATTTAGAACAAAAACAAAAATTACACTTCAAAAGGCCTAGGTACCGCAGCTTTACAATTTCTTTTGTCGCGCCCGAGACGACCAAAACGTCCACATTTTCGTGACTATTTTATTTTCTGCAAGTCATAGCATCATTTCTTCGATTCACAATACAATACGTCTTCTCCTTGAAAACAAAATCATGAATAACTCTGTCGAGCTACATCTCGATGTCTTCACATCATTCTTCCAACTCATCGCCTTTCAAACCCTCTGCGCCTAGCTGTGTCTCCCCACCGCTGAATAAACATTAGGAAGATAACACATACGTCTCATTATTCTGTTCCAATGTCACAATACCCGCTCCGCCACCACCTCCATCTCGCCACAACACCTGCTCATCAATGCCCTCCAACTCTCCGCCTTCTCCGACCTCAATGGCATCATTTGAATCAATTTTTTTCCCTATCCGACAAGCCCCACCCGGCTTAAAAAAATTGACAATCCATCCAAAATGCTCGATCCTGGGCACGACGCCATACACATTTCGCAAAGTCGTCACCAAATCCAATCCTTTAATCGTCATATCCAAATAAACACATGCCACGAGAGAAAAAGTAAATGTCACCCGATCGAGATGAATTCCTGAGTCCTCTATCCTCGAAAACAAATTGACATCTTTTTTTTCCTGCAACATTTGTTGCAAGCCTGGAGATCATAGCGTTCTGTGTTATTATATCTCGTTCAGGCATTTCGTCGAACATCTTCTCAGCAGAACAATCGCTTGAAAAACAAAATATTCACAAATAGATTTTGAATATATTTACAGATAGATATGTTTGAAAGTTAGTTAAATGTGAGTAAGCATCATCAAGCAAAGCCATTATAATTTCACACAAAATACCTAGATTTTACCCCGAATCGATATATAGTTACTAAGCTAAAAAAAATTGAGGTTTGTCGATTTGGGCGCGGAGCAATGGGTGTTCGAGATCGACAACCGGCGAATGAATAAGTGATGAAGATCAAAAGAGTGTGAGCGACCAGTACGGCGGGTTCAATTTTGTAGTTGCCGCTGTTTCTTCGTGGATTTTGCGATCGAAAAATAATTGCAGAGGTTTCTTTTTCGTTGGGTGGGGAAGGAGGGTGAAAATGGAGGAAAAAAATAGGGATTTAAATCCAATTCTACCTTAATAAAAAAAACAAATAATGGAAAAGGGATAGGGTTCGAGTTTTAGAATCAATCACGGAATTCAACTTCACGAGGAATTAAATTAATATACGGAATTAAATTTTTTGAGTAATTTTTTTTTGTACATAACTAACCATGGCTAAAATTCTGAAATACTGTCCTGAATTGGTGGGTGGAATTTACAAATATAACAAGAAGTGGTATGCTATTTCTTTATTATAACAAATAGTTACAAAATCAGATTTCTTCAAAATTTCTAGAAAAAAAAAAAAAAAAGAACACTCTTCTATTCTCTCCAAAGACACCGTTTCACGTTAATATATTTAAGATCAGCTGTTCTTGCATATTTGCAGAGTAGAAATTCTTCTGCTTGCAGAGAAAGTAATTTCCAGAGAAAGTAATTTCAGATGTGTGAACGGTTTTCGAATTGTTTTGGGGTCGTAATTGATCGATAATTCTTTCACTCAACAAAGTCTGTAATGTATTCTGAAAGTTTCTGAGAGACCGTTTGATTACGCATGCGTTTTTTTATGATTTTGTGAAATTAGGGTTTTTCGTTAACCCCAGTGCCATTCCCACGTGCTTCTTTAATTTTAAATTCTGCCTTTTAGGTGTCTGGGTTTCTGTTTTTCACTTCTTTTTTTTCAGTTTATGTTTTTCTCTTGCATCAGATTTTTGAACAAATTTATTTTGAAGAGCAAATGATATTTGGGATTTTAACTTACTTTCACAATTAGTTACAAATTATGTGCTTTTGTGGTTTTGGATATTCGATTTCAAGGCTGCACTTAGATCTGAAAACTCTTTCAATAGATTGAGAATTAGAATTTTTACTTTTAAACTAGTATGAACTTTAGAAGCACAATGAGCTAATATGCATTATGCTATTTATGGCCTTTAATTTATTAAGTCTTACTTTCCTTTTTTTGATATGTGCTCTTGTTTAATATGAGTGTAGTGTTTGAGAAGAAAAAAAAATAAAAAATGGAATACAACAAGAATGAAGCCGTAAGGGCCAAAGAGATGGCTGAAAATAAATTTTTAGAAAGAGACTTTCAGAAGCCAAGAGCTTGGCATTGAAGGCTCAGAGCCTCTTTCCAGGACTGGATGGGTTGTCGCAGTTCATTGAGATTATCGATGTACACATCGCCAACAGCCACAAGATACACAACGCTCCTAATTACTACGGTATATTGGGGGTTGATTCATCGGCTGATGATGATACATTTGAGGAGACAATACCGAAGAATGGCCACTAAAAAAAAAAATAGTATATTTGTAACGGAATTCTGTTCCTAAAGTTCACGTAGCTAACGTAATTTCGTCCCTAATTCCGTCTCTAATATCATTAGTAACGGAAAAAGTGGATTTAAGAACGAAAAAATCTTGTTACAAAATTGATATTTTTTTTGTAGTGGGCCCTCTCCCTGCACCCTGATAAGAACAAGTCAGTAGGGGCAGACAGTGCATTTCAGATACTGTTGGAGGCATGGAATGTACTGTCCGAAAAGGAGAGCAAGAAATGCATATGACTTGAAGATCTGTGTAATGCCTCGGAGCCAGAGTGGCAGTGCTGCTTCAACAAGTACACCGTATACGGCCTTTTCAACTTCTATTCATCACCGACAAACTCCTCCATGGTCTACAGCAATTCTGCAGTACTCTTGAGAAATGCACAATACACAAGCTATGGTTTGCTTTTCTTTCAGGGATTTTTTGGAGGATTTTTAAATCCAAATTTTCAAGGTAATGAGGCATACTATTACCAAAATCCATCCCCAAGAAGTTAGAATTGTGGATTCAATGCAGTCCCTTATCTAATGTATCCACCAGTCGGAGTGCATAATCCAGTTCAACCTCAAGTGTCTTCAACGAGGGCAACTGCAGCCAACTTTATTTTATTTACATTCAGCTGCGCATTATGGTAATGCTCCAAACACAGCCCAGTCGAGGTCGACTGCTAACCAGCAAAGACCAGATTCATTTTGGAGTTCATGCAGTTGATGCAAAACACATTATGTATACGGTAATGTGCATCTAAATGAATTTCTGAAGTGTCCTTCGAAAGATGTAGGGTTGCTGCTGCAACTCTCAACAATGAATTTTTATAGACAAAAAACTGAATAATATTATTGCATCTTATTTCACTACAAAAAAACTAACCTTTTGTAGCGGTTAAAAATTTGTAACAAAAACTCAATTTTCATGCAAAGTAGCCTTTTGTGTCGACTTTGTTATGGATTTTGACAGATTCTAAAAGTCGCGGTACAAAAAGTCTTTATCGTAACAAAATCCGTAACAAATAAGTGGCGGTCAACCCTCAGAATAAACACGTTTTAATTGTATTTGTTACGTTTTTTGTACGTAACAAAAAAATCGATCATATATTTAGAACGAAATATATCCATAACAAATAATACGGCACAAAAGTTAAAATCTTGTCAGAAAACTATTTGTTACGATATATGTCCGTAATGAAAAACACGGTAGAAAAGTGGCATCTTGTCAGAAAATATTTTGTGACGAAACTTTGTCCATCACAAAAATTGCGTTACAAAACTAAAGTTCTGTCAGAGAAGTATTTGTTACCGAATTTGTCCATAACAAAAAATTTGGTACAAAAGTCATGCGACCGTAAAACACCATTTTTACCGATCATTGTCCATAACTAAAAAATACTCTTTGTATCAAATAAGGGTTTTGAAGCTACAAGTAAAATGCAATTGTCTAAAGTAGTATTTGTTACAGATCCAATTGCGTTACAAATAACTTAAAAGCATAATTTTATCATAACTAATCCAGAATCCTTGTCCATACCTACAAAACGACATCAATCCAACGACATTTATAGTAATGCTCAAAATAGAATATTAGGCATCAACGGTGCTTTAAAGCATCCCAAAATACCACCATATCGTACAACATAACAACCAACTAACAATCTCATAACATACCATCCGCAAATCCAATAAATAATAGCTTATAGATAACTTTGGTATCAAATCGGAATACAATCTTAAGGCGTGTGCATAAAGACAACTACAAACTACCAAGCTCGTCAAGTGCAGATCACTGAGGAAGCAATGAGGGACGGCGAACCAACTGCAATGAGTATTGGTCATCATCTTGAGTATAATCATTGGTCATTATCTTGAGTATAATCATCGTAAAGTAAGAAGAGAATAAAGAAAAACCATATAACACAATAGATTAATGAAAAAAAAAAATATAAAAACAATAAACAATCCAGATCATGCTTTGTTATACACTAACACACTAAGTAGTTCTAAAACACACTGGATTAGGTTTGCAGAACTAATTCTAACTATTCCAACAAAGCCATAAATTTTCTAGTAGTGCTTTGATTGTCAGGCAAGCAATTATTACAATACAAATTATAGTTGAATGCAAGCAAACCCATACAACTGCTAAAAAGAGAAACTGTGGTCACCATTTTCCGGGAGTTGTGCTTGCAATAGCCATATGTGAATCGGTAATCACCTTGTACATAGCGATCTCTATCACTATCATATTAAGATGGATATAACAGGTCATCTCACTAGAAAGTTGGAAAGTTAACTCTCAAATATTTAGGATACCATCAGTCATAAAAAAGATCATTATTATTTCAATTGAATAAATTATAACCAATTATGATATAATGATAAGCTAGGTGATTTTTAGCTCCTAATTAAAAGGTAGATTATAGTATAAGCTATGCAATTACAATAAATAACTAACAACAAAATAGAAAAATACATCCAAGGTTAGAGGCTAAGATTCAGAATTTCTTATTGCATATGTTGCATGTTTATAACAAAGGATGGAAGATTCTCATGCAATGATGAAATTACTAATTCTAGGTTACACATAATGAGAAAGGATAATGGTATAAGATGGAACAAATCATGCTAGCAATCAATACCTGTAGTAAACAATGTTGAGTGAGCTGCATATACAAACCAAACAATATGATTAACCATGAAAATCCAAAAAAAAATGCATTCATAAAAACATATACCGGGCATTAGGCAGTGTAGCTTAAAGATATGAAGATAGCAGAGGTGGTGTACGAAGGATGCACTTTTCCTTGAATATTCATTGTATCTTCTTGCCATTCATTTACTTATTTATTCCCAACATTCATGGTTTTCATTGATAATTAAACTAAAGCAAGAAAAGCAGCAAACGTTTCTCACAAAAGTAATTAACATGCGATAGATTGTGTGATGCATAACCAAACTAAACTAACTATGTTGCATTTATAACTTATTTTTGAATTATTTGGATATGATTGAAATGAATAAAATTACATAATAGTAGTATTAGCGAAGGTGAAGACAAAAGATTGAACATTTACATAAAGCATACGAATTTGTAGAGCAGAACCTACGTGATGCTTATTGCAAAGGCTACTGCTCGGATCAAAGGTTACTGATCATCGTCGATCCTAGGAGGAAAACTGACAAGTGGTAAGAGAGCCGAATTTCTCAACCGGATGGTGGGGCGCAGCCTGGGAGTGCTCTTCTAGATGCTGCAAATGAAGAATTAGAAAACATAAAGCATATGCATTACCTCTAATATAAATCGGACTACATATATATATATTAAATCAATTTGAATAACTTGGTTCATCCTTTTCCCATCTGAACAATCAAATATACCTACGCAAACAAAAATCAAATAATAAATAAGCATGTATATATTTAATACCTGTAGGTTTTGAGCAATCCAAGTTCTCTATAGAGCTCCACCAATGCTCCCCTCTATACAAAACCTATGCATTAATATATCAATCGTATCTGTACACAAGCACCAGGAATTGAGAGATTGATTTCTCAATTTTTTAGGTGCACTCATTCATATTCCACAAACATCACAAAAATTATAGGTAAACTAGAATACATTGTAGAATAAACCATCTGCTAGCAAAAAATCAAAAACTAGAATAAGTTGCTCTACAAGAATAAACCACATGCTGGTCATGCCATACATGTTCTTAACCAAATAATCGAGTCTAGAATAAGTTGTTCTACAAGAATAACAAAATTCACTACCAAAACTTTCTTGAAAACTAGCAGCTACTAAGTTGTTCTACAAGAATCTAACTAGCAGCTACTAAGGTCAGGCAAAAATAGAACCTGTCCATAATCTAAGATAGAAGCCATTATACACAATTACTAAAACAACATAAAAAACCCAAACAATACAGTAAGTTAGTAATATTAGTAATGAACATCCTTTGTATGTTTTGATCTGCTTTACTATGCAGTAACTTAAGTAGTTTTCTTCTACTCCACCATTATCACGGTATAGAGATATTACCTTACATTCCACATTTGGTATAACCTCATTAGTTTATGATAATGACATGATTTCACAATCACTTACAATGTTTATTGAACCTTTACTTACGAGGATATATATCTTCCAATGCTACTAGAGTTCAGAAAATGTTCTAATATCAATTTACAGTTTTAAGATAATCATGTAGCAATTGAAATGATCCTTAAATAACAAATGTTCACCATTCAAATTCTTCAAATCAAAAGACCATCTCATTGTTTCATTACCACTGCTCTCAGACAAATTGAAGGAATGGAAAACTAATCAGTGTTTTTATTGAACTTAAATAAACCCGTAAATGATGAAAACCATACCTAGTGGTAGATATAATGTTCACCTGGCGCCCGAGAAATGGCATGCAAACCATACCATGAATGGTGCTATGATGTCCTCCAAGCCAAATTAACCCTTCTGAAATTGTTAAACGGAGATAAAAAAATCAATTTTTTTTTTTTAAAAGAAAAACTAAACCAAAATCTAAAACTTTAAACAACAACAAAAATTCAACACATACACAGGAATTGAAGCTTGAGTGGCTTAGTATGGAGAAGAAATCCAATCCAAATCTATAGCTCGTACAAATCAACACCATTGAAAATGCCTCTTCTAACACCAAAAAAATACGATTTTCCCTAACCCTAAACTAATCTAGAACCACTCCAAATTGTTAAGATACCTTGCGATTAAAATTATAAGTCCAGTCGCTATTGGGTTACCTCGAAGCGGCGACGGCGGAGCAGTGTTCGATGAAGGTGTGCGCGAGAGTGGAAATGAATTACGCGACATCAATTTTTTCTTTAAGTGTTGAGATGTGAACATATGTGTATCTATGTATACCTCATTTGTGAAAGCGTAACAATGCTTTTACATTTTTTTTAAAAAAAATTATTTTAATTTATTTGTAAAATAAATTTATTTAGGTTTTTTTTTATATATATTTTTATCTATAATTATCATATTTATCCTATGTATGTGGATATTTACGGTAGAAGCTTTAACATGATTTTCAATTTTTATTCTACTTTATTTTATTTTTGAATTTTTTTAAATATATATAGTTTTTTTTTTATTGCAATATTATAAATATAATATTGATTTTTGTTATGAATTGCGTAACAAATAAATATACAACCATATTTTGTATTATATGTAAATATTATGGATAGTTTACCGAAACAAAAATTTTTTATATTTTGAATTTTATAAAAATTAAATATAAAATGTTCTTCTTTTTAATAATTATAATATTACTCTTTTTGTTACGGGTTGAATTACTTAACAAATATAGTTAGTACAAAATTTCGTCCCATATGTAGTTGTTACAAATAACTAATCGAAACAAATAAAAACTAATGTTGACCAATATTAAAACTTTTTGAACCGACAAATTTCGTAACAAAAACATCTTTTTGTAACAGATTTATTGTTATGGTCAGTTTACCTGCTACAAAAGGTTAGTTTTTTGGTAGTGTTTCATCCCTTCCTCTTACAATTTATAGTGTCATATAGAAAGATCTAGGACATTTAATTATATTTGAGAAAGACACACTCATAAATTAGTAATTTAAATGACTCTTTAAAATGCATTAATTCTAACATCCTAAGTGCAAAAAGGGTATCAGAGCAATGCAGATTCCTGCTCCTAATATAAAAGCCGAGGCTCACGCTATTGGAATATCCATCAACACACTGACGATCTATCGACCTTCTTGAATCGTTTGAGAAGTGTGCGTCATCAGTTCCTAAAAACTGCAGAGACATTCCTCCCGGGATCGTGGAACCAACTACATTTCCTAGTTCTGCAATGGGAAGTTGATTAATGGAGGAACCAATGAAGAACCATGATGGTGATTGCTCAACAAGTACAGAAGGAGCTGGAAAGAAGCCTGGTCTTTGTAGCCTGAATTTGGGGAAACCAGAGAGCATCATAGGAGTAGATGTTCAGAAGGGAGAAAGTGTAACAATTCAGGCATCTTCTGTAAAAGTGATTGTCGATAATTCTGGCCCTGCGAAGAACAAACAACTGATGAAGTCCTATACCAAGGGGCTATCACATATATGGAAGTAAAAATGGCTGAGAAAGAACTTGTAGGCCAGTTCGAGAAATATCACACTGAAGATCCTGAGAAAAGGAGTGGTGCCACATTTTCTGATCTGAAGGACAAAGGTGCACCTGAGGGGTGCTATGAGCTCGACCCGGCAGCTCTACCATCAGAACTGCTCAAGATTATTACAGAAGCTGAAGCAGCCGAGGCAACCTCTCAGAGAGTCTCTGAGCCTTGTGTTATGTCAGAAGGATGGATTCAAAACTAACTGAGGTTTTCCGGAAGGGAAATGAAGGTTCCAAACTCCTAGAGGCTTATTTTAGAAGAAAGAAAGTCAAGCAGGCCCAAGGTAAAAAAGCGAGAATCTGTTACAATCTCATGAATGAAGAAACTTTTATATCACATATGTGCTTCTCATTCTCATCAAAATGTCTATAGATGTAACAGATTTTAATGTGTTAGGGAGAAAATTCATCCTTTATAGAATATGTAACAATGTTGGAACTATCTGATTGTTACCCTAAATGTATGTATATATGATATATCTTAAGATTTTTTTCAGGAATTAGAGCAACTTAAAAATTAGGCATTCAAATAGTTTGATTTTGCATTACTTATACATTAAACATGTGCAAGAATACACTTGTTTAACATAAAATATCTTGGCTCTGAACCAATAAACTAAGGGCAATTAGATAAATACACATTTAAGGTGAAACAAAATATTGAGAAAATAAAAAAAAAAAAAAAACAAATGTTACACTTGACTTCAATAAAAGAAAAATGACATACCAACCAAAAACGGCCTGGCCGCAAAATAAATTATGGACCCGGAAAAATGGGGTCCGAAATACAAAGAAAGCTCACATATTTTTTAATTACACTCATGTCACAAAACATATAGTGTGTGGTCAAAGAAATACATAGAGTAAGAAAAAGAAAGTTTTAGATGAATTAATTAGCAGCCGATGACGGAATTAAGCCATAAATGATAGATTTCACAAAGCAGGCTTTGCCTCCTATATTATTTGTTGTTAAATAAGTCATTTCAAAATTTTGAGAAATTTAAAAGAAAGTAAATAGATCTTGGTGATGTGAGCCGTTCGACTATCTCTAACAAAGAAATAATGATTTACTTCACTTTCTCTTTTTGTCATATTTGAGATGTTTTTAAAATTTTATGTTTTTTATGCCGCTGCTTTTTACATTGGCAATTTTTCTCATATGTCCAACAATTTTATGCTTCAAAAGTAAAATTCAAAAAAATTTGGTGCACAGATGATTGGCCTTTATTATTTTTTTCCTACCGTTGTTGCTTTTTATTTTGGCGAAAAGGTAGACTAAGAACCCTATTTTGGACACCAAATCTCTCTATTTTTTTTTTTTCAAATCCCTTGGTGCCCGTTCTGTTTTACCCAAGAATATATCCAGCTCTGATCGGATTGATCATGACACAAACAGCACGAACAGGCTGGATTGTCTCCCGGGTCCATTCCCTGTATGGTGGACTGGACTGCTATGCGATTGGACTGTCATGTGAGCTGAGCGGTCAGGCGGCCTGGACTGTCATGTGGTTGGGTTGTTAGGCGAGTTGTGCTGCCCTATGGGCTGTGATGTGAGTTGTGCGGTCAGGTGGGATGGACCACCGTGCGACTGGGCTTGCCTCATATTGTTAAGCTTTGCTGGACGTCGCAGATCGGCCACTTAACGATAGTTGGCTTCGTTTCATGAAGTCGGACCTCGCTCGACACAGGATCGATGTTGCTGGGGTCATTCGACGCATTCTACATTTATGTTTGGGTTAACAACCGGTCCCTAGAACTTCGCTATCGAGTCGAGCTTCAATTTTCCTTCGTCACCTCGGCTTTGTTATTTAAGATCTCATCGATCCGAGGTACTTCGGGGCGAGTATAACGAGTATATATAAAATAAATAACAAACCCAAATTATAAATACATATAAAATATTTGTCATGTGTCCGTATTTACAAAAGTGAGTTGTCTGCGGCATCGCCGCAAAGCACTTCTCGAGACAATGTTTCCTATTGTTTATTTTTTAAATGAAGAAACACTATTTTTTTTCACAAAAATATCAAAAGTACCATCCAACCCGAGGGTATGTAAAAACAAAACTACCATCAAACCTGTATAAATAAATAAACTACAAAAGAACATACGGGTGTGTTGTGATTCTCGATCTTCCTGAACGTTGAGTGATCTGCACAGATTCTCAACCAAATAATTAGTGCGGATAAAAACGATGATTAAGAATGTAAAACAGATATATATGTTAAGAATTTAAAAGAAAGATAGATCAATCGGTAGTGTAGGCTCAGATCGCAGCCACTCCTTCGCCAACTCCAAGTCGTCCTACGAGGTAACCCACAAAGGTGTCGATTGCGGTGGTTCCTAACACGAAGTAACCTAAGAACCCTATAGTGTTCCTCGCACATGCAATATCAGGACGAAAAATAATGAGAGAAGTCGACAGGCTAAGGCAGTAGGTTCGTCGCTCACATAACAGAGAACTGAATAGCGAACTCGTCACACCCTCTCCCAAAATCCCAAACCCATATATATAGAGGAGAGACGGATGGATAGAACCCAAAATAGTAGGGAACAGCCTTACCTTATCAACACCCATGGCGGACTCAATCAATCTCGAAGAAATAGGGATAGCACCGTGAATGACGGAACGGATGAGAGACCGATTCAAACGATCGAACAGAATGGGGAGAGATCGGTTTAATTTAAGGAGATAAAAAACAAACCGGGTCGGTTATGGATCGGGTCGGACAGGGTCGGGTCGGATCTGGGTTTGGGTGTGGGTTGACGCAGAAACACACCAACAATCTCTACCTTGTTTCTAGTCGACCCTCGTGGTTACATTGGAGGGCAATCGAGAGTGGGAACATGCTATCATCATCGCCATTATTCCTGCAATCTTAACACGGAGTCAATTCTGTAGAGTATATATTAATCACAGAGAAATAATACATGCTATCAATGAAGAGCAGACACGGTTCTAATCCAATGTATCAAAATTTAACATATTTAAACATGACTGAAGCTTGGAAACAGGCAGACATTTGGTTCCCATATCAGCAGGGTTAAATTGAGAAGGTATTTTTTCAAGTTTGACTGACCCTTTTGCAACTATGTCCCGTATAAAATGAAACCTAACATCTATGTGTTTGGTTATATCATGAAAAATAGGATTCTTGCATAATTGGATTACAGACTGACTATCAGAATAGACTGTCATATTGTCACGCAAAATTTCAATTTCAAAAAGCAAACCTTTTAGCCACAACGCTTCCTTTAGAGCATCAGTTATCGCAACATATTCTGATTCAGTAGTAGATAGAGCAACAATATGTTGGAGTTGTGATTTCCAACTTATGCATGAGCCACACAAAGTAAACACATAGGATGTTGTAGATTTTCTATTGTCTCTATCGTTCGCATAATTAGAGTCCACATAACCTTTCAATTTTACTCATTCAACATATTTTCCAAATTTTAGCCCTAGGTTACTAGAACCACACAAATATCTAAATAACCACTTGACTGCATTCCAATGTTCAGTTCCAGGATTAGACATGAAACGACTAAAACAATTCACAGAATATGCAATATCAGGTCTAGTGCAAATCATTAAGTACATCACAGAGCCTATAGCATTTGAATATGGCACATCTTTCATGTAATTCATATCAGATTCAGATTTAGGACATTGATTTTTGTTTAG